AAAGAGGCTTGAGTTTGGCTGTTTTGTTGGTGTGGGCAGAGCCAAGACTCTTAGCTGTCCAAGGTAGAGGCTGGGGCTGCCTTCACTACTCTGAGCCTTGGATTCTGTTTTCAGCTGATCAGGGTAACGCAACCAGAGCTGATTCAGACCCACAAATCTCAAGAGTCGCAGCTGCCTGAGGAGTCCAAACCAGCCAGTGGCAAGTCCCCCCTGGTTCTGGAGGCAGGCAGGGTCCCAGGAGCCTCTGAGAGCACCCACACAGGTATTGGGGGTTTTAGGGCCTCTCATGGGCCCCTTCCACACCCCCAGCGTGAGCTGGGTGACCCAAGTAGAGCAAGTCTTTTTCTATGGCAACGTTTGGGCAATGGTTCAGAAGCTTTTATGGGCGGTATGAAGGCCAGTGCCTGTAGCCCTCTCCCACTAGAACATGGAGGGAGAGCAGTTTTTCCCTAGAGAAAGGCACCTGTATAGAGCTGCCATTACTACAGGCCCACAGGCCCCTGAGCCTTCTCTGTAATTTATATTCCCTTTCTGGTTTTCTTAGAAGCTTTTTACTTTCCGCCTCTCTCTCTTTTTCCACCTTGTCCTCTGTCTCTGTGGGCACATGACTTAGAGTTTACTGACTTCCATTCCACCAGCTGGCTCAGCTATTCTCTGGAAAGCGAGGGGAGGAGTGCTGTGTCACAGGACTGGGGAGATAGTGGGCTGGGGACAGCTTTTCTTGAGGATCTGGCTGAAGGTCCTGTCTGTGCTCCTTCACCACTCAGATGGTGTGGAGGAGGTGGCTAGTTCATGCCCACAAGCCCTGACGCACAGCCCTCCTAGCAAACCCAAGCTGGTGGTGAAGCCTCCAGGAAGCAGCCTCAATGGGGTTCCCCCAAACCCCACTCCCATTGTCCAGCGACTGCCGGCTTTTCTGGATAATCACAACTATGCCAAGTCCCCCATGCAGGTGAGCTGGGAGTGCTCCTGCAGAATTCAATTTAGGATTCTTTGGAGAGGTTGCCATAGGCAGTTTTTCAGATGGTTCCTAGGTGTTCATCATCTACCTGGGCCTGGTTCTTCTGATACTCATGGGGGCTTCGGGAGGCAAAGAGAGCTTCTCTAACTTTAAATCCAGCCTCATGGCTATGGGGCTGAACATTTAGATCACATTCGTTGGGTACAACTCTGTGGGTAGAGTTCTGCTGGCAAAATGTTTCAGGGCACTCTTTGTCTCAGCAGCCCTGCATAGGCTGGTAGTGTGGGTGGGCAGCAGCTTCCCTAGGAGCCAAGGGTGGGCTCTGGAGCACCTGGAGGGGTTCAGTGGACTCAACTTGGAGAGCCATGTTGGTTTTCTCTCCGGCTATGAGTGCTGTACCAAGCCTGGGCTGACTGATCCCTGCTTATGGCTGCCCTGGGTCTCTGCCCCAGGAGGAAGAAGACCTGGCAGCAGGTGTGGGCCGCAGCCGAGTTCCAGTCCGCCCACCCCAGCAGTACTCAGACGATGAGGACGACTATGAGGATGATGAGGAGGATGACGTGCAGAACACTAACTCTGCCATCAGGTCAGCCTCAGCTCTGTAAGGCTGGAAGTGCTGAGTGTTGCATACCCTATCTTGAATATTCCAGCCCATGTCTTAGAATGCCCCTCAGCAGATAGACAGTGCTGAGCACCTGCTGAGTGTAGGGCCCTGGGGGAAGCTGGCATGAAGGGGCTGACTTCAGGTCCCAAGAAATTTTTGGAGTGCTGGGGGGTATGGCTGAGCATATTTAACCAAACATCAAGACATGTCCTGTTGGGAGGTGGACTTTTGGCTAGGCCTTAAAGAATTGGATGAGGCAGGGATAGAGGAGATGAGGCAGGGGTAGCTTTGCTGGAAGATATGATATTGGCAAAAAGCCAGCAACTGGAGGTGTCCTTTGGGGACACCTGGCTTCAACTGTCTGAGGTTAGGGTGCCAGGCTTGATGTGGCTGGGTCAGGCTACTGGACTGATTGTGAGGAGCTATAGGGTCAGTCCCTGGATGCCAGGATGTATTCAGACAATTCTGGGCATTGCTGGGTATGTGGTCACCTGGCCCATTTCCTTGGCTTACCTCTCCCTGGGCCCCACAGGTATAAGCGAAAGGGGCCAGGGAAGACAGGGCCATTGAGTGGCTCTGGGGATGGACAGCTGTCGGTACTGCAGCCCAATACTATCAACGTCTTGGCTGAGAAACTCAAAGAGTCCCAGAAAGACCTCTCGATTCCCCTGTCCATCAAGACCAGCAGCGGGGCTGGGAGTCCAGCTGTTGCAGTGCCCACACACTCGCAGCCCTCGCCCACCCCCAGCAATGAGAGCACAGACACAGCCTCCGAGATTGGCAGCGCTTTCAACTCACCACTGCGCTCACCTATCCGCTCAGCCAACCCAACGCGGCCCTCCAGCCCTGTCACCTCCCACATCTCCAAGGTGCTCTTTGGAGAGGATGACAGCCTGCTACGTGTTGACTGTATACGCTACAATCGTGCTGTACGTGACCTGGGTCCTATCATCAGCACAGGCCTGCTACACCTGGCTGAGGATGGTGTGTTGAGTCCCCTGGCACTGATAGGTGGGTCTTGGGCTGGCCCACTGGCCATTTGGTGTACCAAAGAAGGAGGAGGGAGGTGGCCAAGTGACCAGTGTCCTGCACTCTGATGGGTCTTTTCATGCCTTTTTTCCCCAGAGAGTGGGAAGGGTTCTTCACCCTCCATCAGACCGAGCCAAGGCAGCCATGTGTCTGGCAGCCCAGAGGAGAAGGAGGTGGTGGAAGCTATAGATGGCAGAGAGAAGGCTGGGCTGGTCAGGCCTGGTGAGCCCTTGAGTGGGGAGAAGTACTCACCCAAGGTGAGCCCGTGTGGTTTTCTCTTCTAATCCTGGCAGAAGGAAGGACCTGGGGCACTGCTGCCCAGGGCTGAGTTCTTGATTGGAAGTTTGGTGTCAAGGTTAGTGGCTGAAGCTAGGCACCAGGAAGGCTTTCTATGTTGTGTAGTGGCAGGGGTCTCGGCCAGCTACAGGCAATCTGGCTGCTTTCCTTGCCTCTTGCTGCTTGGTAGTGTGGCTTTGTTGCTGACCAGCCCCTACTTATGGGTGCAATGCTGGGTTTTGGCAGGAGCTCCTGGCACTGCTGAAGTGTGTGGAGGCTGAGATTGCAAACTATGAGGCCTGCCTCAAGGAAGAGGTAGAGAAGAGGAAGAAGTTCAAGGTGGGTCATCTTTCCCGCTGGCTGGTCCTCTGCCCCTATCTTCCAAGAAATGCAACCTCCCAAGGTCAGCTGGTGGCAGCTCTGAGGAGATGGGCTACAGTACCTTCATCCTTTTCTCCTACAGATTGACGACCAGAGAAGAACCCACAACTATGATGAGTTCATCTGCACCTTCATCTCCATGCTGGCTCAGGAAGGTGAGGGGACTCACTATTGCATCTTACCTGGCATGACTTGCTGTGGGCCATGCCCCTCAGGTCCCCCCTCTGTCAGGCCTCTACTGAGGTTCGAGCAGACTATGGGGCTCAGGAAAGGTTGTGAGAACCTTAGCTCTGGGCCTGTTGAACAGGTGGCTGCTGATCATCCAGCCACCTGCTCAAGGGCCTCTACCTTTCCACAGGCATGCTGGCTAACCTGGTGGAACAGAACATTTCAGTGAGGCGGCGGCAAGGGGTCAGTATTGGCCGGCTCCACAAGCAGCGGAAGCCTGACCGGCGGAAACGCTCGCGCCCCTACAAGGCCAAGCGCCAATGAGGACTGCTGGCCCTGACTCTATAGCCCGCTCTTGCCGTGTGGCCCTCACCAGGGCCCCTTCCCTGCCCTACTACCCCCTTCCCAGTATTACTGAATAGTTCCAGCCAGAGAGCCCAGACCCTGGGAATGGGAGCCAGGCCGAGATTTCCTGCGTTGTGCCTCTGGGCCTGGTAGGGCAGGTCAGCCCCATAGTGCTCAGGAAGCAGCAGCTGGAGCTGGGGCACAGTGAGATGCTGTAGCTTCCTCCACAGCTGGCTGTGGAGCTGCAGGACTTGGCCTTTCTGCCTGGGCAGCAGAATATATATTTTGCCTACAGAGATGTCTATTTTTCTGGGCTCTGGCCCATCTTGCCACCACTGTGTTGACATAGCCAGTTTCCTGACTTTGTCTTCTAATAGCTGTCATCTTGGTGGGGCCTGGGTGGGCATTGGCCTGCTATGCTGGCCCCAGCTGCTGGTTGTTTCTAGTTTTGAGGAAGTCAGGTCTGCTTTTCGTTCCTCCTGGGAGACCTCCAAACTCAGGGACCCAGCTGCTGGGCTGAGTTGGGAGTAGAGTGTCCCAGTGGGGGTGGAGTGAGCAGCCTCTGGGGTCCCATGGCCTGAGAAAGAGGAGTGTTTAAGCTGTTTGGTGGCTTCTAACTCCCTCATTCCAGTTGGGCTTGTCAAGTCTGCTCTCTGTGGCAAGGCTCTGGGCCTTCAGTGTTGTGGCCCTGATAATGGGTCTGCCTTGAGCTTCTGGACTCTGTCCCTGGAGCCTGGCTCAGAGGAGCCTCTGCCCAGCCCCTCAGTATTACTATATCTCCCTCTTAGGGGTAGCAGAGACAGGGATGCTTGCAGGAAACTGGCACCACTCAGCTTTTCCTGCCATGCCAGCTTCCATAGCCTCTGCAAGGCATTTAGGGTCAGGAATAGGACCAAGACAACCAGTTGGAGCCCCCATGTTCCCAGAGGGCCTGATGCCAAAGGGTAACGGGCCAAGCACTGCCTCTGGAGCTTGGGCCCTAAACAGTCCTTTGGCCTCTGCCAGATGGCTTTGAAGGTAATCCAAGCAGGCCCCTTATCTGTACATAGTGGTGGGGGGGAGGGAAGGCAGAGAAGCGGGGTGGGAGACAGCTGACAGGCATGGCAGTTGCCTCTCTGTGCTGAACACAGCCTGACCCCTTGAGCCTCTGTAAATATTGGATCAATGAATGAATAAAACTAAAAAATGAACCTTTGTGTTGTTACTGGCCTGAGGTTTGAAGTCTAGGCTGATAGGGGTGAGGACCCTAACCACACCTGTGACCAGAGAGGTGAGAAATATGCATTCTTGGGCATCCAGACTTCTGGGGCAGAGATTCTTAGGACTCTAAGCTTAGCATTTAGGACCTGAGGTAAGGAGGGCCTTCAGGTGGGCTATGGAAACTGAAGAATTGTGTGCAAGGTGTATTTTGGGAGGAGAGGGCCATACCACGGCTTTTACCAGATCTGATAGATTTGCAACCTGGGAGATGCTGGGGCTCTGGGTGAGGAGGCCGGGCTTCCTCTAGTGCTCTCCCTGGAGGGGCTCTCACACCTCGTAGGGATCACCTTTCTCCTTGTTGCACTTGGACAGGTCCAGCATGTCAAAGCTGCCACCTCTGACCCTTCCCCCTGTTAGCCACATTCTTTTGAGGCTGCTGCAGCCCCTTATGTCCCCTTTCCCTGGCAGTGAGTTCTGCAGAAGGGGTCTGATGTAAGCAGGTAAGGCTCAACTGGACTGCTTAGAAAACTCAACTTTAATGGCCCCCACCCTTCGGTCCAAATCTAGTAGTCCAGGGCACAGATGAGGGCCACACCACGCTTTATCCAGTGTCGCTGGGGCTGGTTGGAGGGGATCTCCACAGCAATGACGTAGTTGGTGGAGTGGCCAGTGGTTGATAGTGTTCCTAGAGCAGGTAACAAGTGGTGAGGGTTAAGTTGTTTGCCAAAACTAGAGCGGGGACAGGGTAAAGGAAATGGATTTGGTAGACTGAGTTGGAGACAAGGAGGGGTCCCTGACCCAAGAGGAAACCTGCCTGGTGAATGAGTCTGGCCAATGTTCAGGCCTGCCCAAGGTTAATGCACTGACTGAGGATAGGTGGCAGTGGGAGAGTTGATGGCACTGCTCATTTCCTCTTGGACCTAGCATTGGCCTATCCCCTTTCTCTAGGCCTCAGTTACCCACGTTGAACCTCCATTGTCAGGCTGGGTTCCCAGGACCCAAGGTGGGTCTGCTGAGGAAGGCAAGAAGATGGTGAGCTCAGGGGTTACTTTTATGGATTGAGCTGCCACCAGGCTCTGCCTTTGCCCCTTTGGTCTCACCACTGCTTACTGACCCCTGTCAGCGATCTTGTTCCGCTAACCTGAGTCACACTAACTGGCCTGGGCTGGCCCAGTCCTGGGCCCCCACCTATTGTATAGGTTCCCTGCCCTGGGTCCTGTACCAGCACGGGTCAGTGTCTTGTAGATGGGACACAGATAGAAGGCCTGGTTCTGGATCTTGCGGTTGGGCATCGGCAGGAGCCAGATAACGGCCATCTCCGTGTATAGCTCCTTGGGCCGAGACTCAGCCAGCTGGAAGGCCGTGGGGTCCCAGCGGGCACCTTCCAGGAACAATCCATGGATGTAGCACCCCTCTTCGGGCCTTTGCTTGAGCTCTGACACTGACTGGCTCATCACCTGTGGTGGGCACACAGACACGCCCACACATATCAACACCCAGAATCTGGATTAGGATTTGGGTCTAGAAGTACAGACTCCCTCCTGAGAGTTCTGCCTGCCTGCCTATCACTCACTTTCCATTTTAGCTGGTAGCCTGCAGTCTGTATCCCGCCCCAGGAATTTCTCTAGGGCTCATGGTCTCTTCTGGCCTGGCTCTCCTTGCCCACCCACAACCCCCACTCAGGGATCTCCCGACTCTGTCAGCCATCTGTGGCCTCAGGTTCCTCCTATCTGGGCCGTACCTCAGCCTGTCACCTGACCTGGCCATAGCTGTGTCCAGACCTTAAAATCAAAGGCGATGGTGTCGATGGAGATGACAGACTTGCGTGCAAAGTTCTGCAGTGTGCCTGTCAGGAAAGCCTGGGGGAAGAAGAAGCCACTGATCCAGAAGACGGCTGGGATGCCCCCTTGGATCCAGGTCTGTAGGAAGTCTAGGCGCTGCAGCAGATCCATGACCCATGAGGACAGTGGCTTGAGCGATGGGTAGGCCTTGGCATTCCAGAGCTTAGGCACAGTGTTGTTGTATAAGCTAGTAGCCATCAACTCCAGCTGCGAGGACATCACCACCAGCCCTTTTAGCGCCTTGAGCAGGTCTCGCAGTGTCTGTGTGATCACCTGCAGCAGCCGGTTGTACCTATGGGCCAGTACCAAGGAGGGAGGCAGTGGGCCAGGGCCATGTGGCAGTATCTATACTCTCCAGTTGTAGGCCATAGACAAAACAAAACAAAACAAAACAAAAAAAACAATGGCCAAACATAGAGGCTAAGAGAGAGAGAGCATAGAACTGCTTGGACATACTGGTATCAATCCCCACTCTGGCCCTTAGCAAGTGTGTGACCCTAGACTGTTCATGTAACCGTTTTGGGCCTTGGTTTGCTCATCTGTAAAATGGGAACAATAAGAATGTGGCTGAGTTAGAGGATAGATTTATAGCATTTGTCATGGCACCTGGCCCATAGTAGCTCTTGCTGTCATTTCTCTACAGCCCTTTGGTCCGCTGACTCAGGGCTGGTAGTGGTGGGGGGATTACCGAATGACCTCCTGTACCAGCACCGTGTTCATTGACTCCTCATACAGCACCGGATACTTGGTTATCACCAACTGCAAGTTGATGGGCTCAGGCACCTGGAGCAGAATGTTCTGGGCCACATCCTGTACTATCTGTAAGGGCAAAGGGATACTGGGGGTCAGGGCTGCCCCCACCCCCTCCAACCCTTGTAGGATTTCACATGAACAGAGTTCCTTCCCACAAGGGAGCAGGCAGGATGGTGGGTGGCAGATTGGCCCTGCCCAACTTTTGGGCCCCTTTGCCGTGCTGCCACCTACCTCCTCCCGGCCCTGGCCGCCCACAGAGGACGATTTTGGTTGCAGCCGTATGATGGCACCGAGCAGGGCGTAAGTCTCATTCTGGGCGAAGGTGATGTTGGCATTATCGTGCAGGCCAAAGATCTCAGGCATGTCGTTGAGTGGGAGGCTCTTGATGTAGGAGAGGTAGCCCTGAAGAGTAGGAGGGCGCAACTGAAGCCCCTGCCTGCGGGCAGCCCTCCAATTGAGCACATCCCCCACTCATCACTCTGGTTGTAACCCTGTTGTTCTTGGAACTCCTCTGAGATGTTCTGTGAGTGGCCTCTGCCTCCCTCCTAGCCCCCTTGTCACTGCCATCCAACTCCCCGCTACTTCATTTGGCTGCTCAAACCTGTCACACTCCCACCTTTACACTGATGACTCACTCTGGAATGCCTGACCTATCCCCTGACTGCTCCCCACACATCTTAGCTGAAGAAGCGTTTCCTCAGGGAGCCCTCTGTGACTGTGTGGGCTGGGTCAGGTTGCCCCTGCCTTATTGAATAATTGCACTCAGGCAGTAGTGGCTGCCTTTGTGGGACGGATTAACCAATGAGAAGGAGCTACTGGAGGGCAGGGGCCAGGTCTTCTCTCACCCAGCACTCAGGTGTTCACAGCACCCCAGAACCCAGAGTGTGCTTACATTCAAGTCATAGGTGGGTTGAATCTGGTGGTAGACGCCTGAGGTACTATAGCTGTACTCAGGTAAGAGGACATCGGGGTTGTAGAAGTCCTCCAGAATGTTCATGACACAGCGGCGATCCCAGTCGTCAGTGACACGGCCCCCATAGTTGATCTCCCCTGCTGTGTACTTGAGGACCTATGGGGTGGGTGGGTGAGGGCCCACACAAGCGCCCAGTCTCCTGCCCCCAGGTTGCCCCTAGCCCACCTTGTAGGGGATGTCGTCATACTCATCCAGGAACATCTTGAGCTGGCTGATGCAGATGCGCAGGTCCCCATCCGTGAACTCGTAGGGGATGTTGAAGCCCAGGGCCCCAAACTTTCGGCGCTCTAGTGCGTTCCCGTGGAACAGGCACAGAGATAGCAGCAGGGATTTGAACTCTGTCACCTACAAGAGATGGAGGGCAGCACACGTGAGGGGTGAGGACGGGGTAAGGTAGGGTGGGACACTGTCAGTGTGCCTTACCTTGTGACAGGAGTTGAAAAAGTCATCACTGAGGCTGCTGTAGGATTTGAGCAGGTTGGCCTTGACCCCACGTGGCGGCTCAATGGTCATCTTGGAGCCATTCTGCAGGATGGACACTGGGAACTTGTTGCTGGGAAGGCTAGTGAGCCACAGGCGGAAGTCCCGGTGGACCTGATGACCACATTCCATGTGAGCATCGAGAGCCACACCTGGTGGCCTCCCCAACACCAGGCTCCATCCAACTCAGAAACCCTGGGCCACACTTAGCCTGACTTCACCCTTGGGTGGGCCAGGCCAGGCTGCACAGACCACAGGTTAAGAATATGGGCTTTGGTAAGTCTCAGGGTCACTGGTTCGTGCTGGGTAGCCTTGAGCAAATCACATTATCACTGGCAACAGTAACTTGGAGGAAGATTAATGCAATTGATGCATGTTTCATGTGTCAGTTCCCTAGCACAGGCTAGGCTGAGTAATTTGGGGGACCATCTCATGCAGCCTCACAGTCTTGGGTGGACACGTCAGTACTCCCTTCAGCAGAGGAAGTTGGGGCACCTTATCAGGATTGATGTGCTCGATGAGGCGCTCTAGGGCTGGCATCCAGCTCGGGGCCAGGTGGCAGTTCTGGAAGAAGACCCACTTGCCCCTCTCTATGGAGCTGCGCATCATGGCTTCTGCCCGAGGGCCCTGTGGGGGCAGAAGTGCTGAGTGGCTGGGACCAGCTGGCCGGGTCCCCCATCACCCTCCCTGCCCCACCCTTACCTGGCCCTGGCCCAGGGAGATGGCAGAGAGCTTCTTGGAGAACTTCATCTCTTCAGCAAACTTGTACAGGTCGGCAGCAGGGTCAGTGCCAGGAGACAGCACAAAGATGAGGGGCGTGGTGGAGTTGGAGTCTTTGAAAACCACTGACAGGTTGGCTGTCTACAGGGCAGGGAGAGATTCTAAGGCCACCTGGGGCTAAGGAGACACAGGGACCAGGGCAATGGAGGGCAATCTTGGGGGC